TTATTTGCTTCACTGAGGCAGAAGAACATCAAGTGATTTCTACAAAGTGTTTTAACATCACTATTTTAGTAACTCCCATCTCTATCGAATTTGAGTACCAGCACTCAAGTGCAAGGACTTTTCATAGGAATTTGCATTCTGCATAAGACAAATAGTTCACCCAGCTTAATAGCCTGTCTTTTACTTTGACCATCATCCAAATTCCCACATGTAGGTCATTTCAATACTTAATAACCAGTGTTCAAACTGTAGCCACAAACAGATAAGATGTTTTAACTATCATTAGATATTATTACATATTTTTGTACATATTCCTATTCCACACCTGTGTCAGGGCAATCCAAGGCACAGCTACAGGTTGGGCAAAGCGATTCCGAGCAGCCCTGCAGAGAAGGACTTGGGGGTGTTGGTTGATGAGAAACTGAACATGAGCCAGCAGTGTGTGCTCTCAGCCCAGAAAGCCAACCGTATCCTGGGCTACATCAAAAGAAGTGTGACCAGCAGGTTGAAGGAGGTGATCCTGCCCCTCTCTTGTGCTCTCATGAGACCCCACCTGGAGTACTGTGTGCAGTTCTGGTGTCCTAAACATAAGAAGGACATGGAACTGTTGGAGCAAGTCCAGAGGAGGGCCACAAAGATGATAAGGGATTTGGAGCACCTCTCGTACGAAGACAGGCTGAGAAAATTCGGGCTGTTCAGCCTGGAGAAGAGAAGGCTGTGTGAAGACCTTACAGCAGCCTTCCAGTATCTGAAGGGGGCCTACAAGGATGCTGGAGAGGGACTCTTCATTAGGGACTGTAGTGATAGGACAAGGGATGATGGGTTTAAACTTAAATAGGGGCATTCAGGTTATATAAAGGAAGAAGCTCTTTACCGTGAGGGTGGTGAGGCACTGCAACAGGTTGCCCAAAGAAGTGGCAAGTGCTCCATTCCTGGCAAGTGTTCAAGGACAGGTTGGACAGAGCCTTGGGTGACACGGCCTAGGGTGAAGCGTTCCTGCCCATATGGCAGGGAGCTTGGAATTAGATGATCTTAAGGTCCTTTCCAACCCTAACCATTCCATGATTTTATGATTCTATGCCTGTTGTGGTTTAACCCCAGTAGGCAGCTAAGCATTACACAGCCACTCACAGACTTACCTGCAGTAGAACTGAGACAAAAATCGTTAAGGGTAGAAGTACAAAATTTCATAGGTTGAGATAAAGACAGCTTAATTTAAAATAATAAAATGTATTATTATTATTAAATAATAATAATTAAAAAAAAACCAAACCACACCACAACAACAAAGGAGGGAAAAAAAGAAAAACACATGATGCAAAAAAAACCCAAACAATTGCTCACTACCAGCCAACTGATGCCCAGCCATTCCTCAAGAAGCAATGGCAGCCCTGGCCAACCCCCCCATCCCTCCATCCAGTTTTATTGCCAAGCACAACTTGTGGTATGGAATATCCCTTTGGTCAGTTAGGGTCAGCTGTCCTGGCTGTGTCTCCTTCCAACTTCTAGTGCATCCCCAGCCTACTCGCTGGTGTGGTGGTATGAGAAGCAGAAAAAGCCTTAACTCTGTGTAAGCACTGCTCAGCAATAACGTGTTATCAACACTGTTATCAAAAATCCAAAACACAGCTAGCCCCATATAAGCTACTAACAAAGAAATGCAACTGTATCCCAGCCAAAACCAGTACTATGCCTCAGTAACATTCTGCATGAGTTCTCCATGTTTATTTTTTTTCATGTTCATTTAAAATTAAGTTGACTCAAAGAGAATTCCAGAATCAATGTGTTATTGAACGTGGACAGTAGCTATTGACAATGTCGAATACCCTGCCAGTTACCAGCCATACATGACAACATTTCCAACAGGTCCAGGAGCTCCATTTAAGCTCTGGCATTGGCACCCAAGCCTGGCCTGCTTCATCAGAGTTGTATCTGTGTCTGACTCTGTCTCCTTCCAGCATGACTTATTGACTGAACTTCCTAAGCGGACCTCAGGCATACATTATAGGTAGTCTTGTCTCTGGCCCCAGTCTACTGGACGAACCTTAGACTGGTAATATAAGCAGTCCTCTCTCGGGCTTGTCTCCTGTAATTTTGGATTTGCATTATAGGTAGCCTTGCCTCCCTTCTGGTCTTTGGCCCTCTGTTGTTGCTCCTGAGTGGACTTCTTGGATGGCCCCCTGACCTGTTGCCTTGCCTTGTCTCAGGCTGGTGACTATTGCCACACTGACCTCACTGGGATGATGCCCTGGTCAAAGAAGTCCTGCCTTTGCTATAGCCACACTCTGCTTCAGTCTGTAAAGAAGTGTTTTAAGAAACAGCCTGCCAATGTTTGACAATTAGATATAATGATGACACTTCGCTGGCTTCTCAAATTTTGTCCGAAAGTGCAGTTGCATAGTTTCAGTTGAGCTAAATTAACAGCTTGCTAGCAAAAGGTCTCATTGTCTCCTGTCTTCCCTTTTCAGTCAGTTTTGTGCCATTTTAGCAATCTGAACTGGCAGATCACTCAACTGAACTAGAGAGAGAGCATGGAAAGCAGTAAAATCATACAACTGGGGATGGAAGTATACCACAGTGACAGTGCTCTGTTCAATAAACTCGGGCCAGGGCATGACTGCTCAACTCTTGTAAAGGGATTAAAAAAAAAAAAAAGTAAAAAGAAAGTACTATCCAATAGAGTTGGAAGGGACTGTGTAAATATTCCCCTTTTATTAGCACACTGGACATTTGGCACAGTTTCAGCCTATTAAATATTATACAGACTTGAAATTATTTGGCAATTTAACTTCTGCAAATTTAGACAATTTAATCAGTACAGTAAAAAAATGTAGCTGTGCTGCATACATTAGTTTTTTGCTATTTTAACTACAGAGATAGCCTAATCATTCTGAATCTATTCTGGTTTTTGAAAACATTTAGTTTGCACAAAACATGTTCAGAAGTTAATGCAAATATTAATATAGTCATACTCACACTTGTATTGCATCACCTTATTTACATAGTTATTCCTACTCTGTAGCAGACTAATTAGGCCCACAGTGACGTACCACTGTAGTAAAAATAAGATTTTGTCTTAGTGTTGCATGAAAATGTAAGTCACCTGTCTTATTCTCATTCTTTTACAAAGTCACTAGAGCATACCTACAGATGGAACTGTTTTTCTTGTAAACCACCCCCACCCACTGATTATTTCATATAATACAGCAGGCCTTGAAAAACACAATTGCTTTCTGTTACTGATGAATAAAGCTCTTTCCCCAGAAAGTGAGGTGAGGGGGAGTCAAGTTTTCATAAGAGTTTCTACATCTGTGGTCACAAAGAAAACCTCCGAAATGTTAATCAAGTCTGTGCCATCTTCTAAAGCTGTATTCAGACACATTGAGTCAAGATTTCCCAACTAAAAGCAAAATAAGGACAGATATTTTTTGCTGCTGCTATTCAGAAGTACTTGGGTAACAACTAAACTGACAGAGTTTTTCCATTATTTGGAAAAACTATGAGCACTAGCAAGCACAAAGCAGGCCAAGAGCCAATGAGAAATTCATTAAGCTGCTTAAACTGATCTAAATCTAGGCTGTTGAAGTCACATCCTACCCCCGCCACGTATTTCCACCCCTTCCTTTGGCCAATGCTAGTGTTTACAGAAGCAAGTGATGGTGTGCCAGTTCAAGAAATTAAAAAAAAAAACACATCATTGGGGGGGGGGAGGGAAGGAAAAGAGAAGGGGGGTAACATGACACGGGGGACAAGGAGAGTTTTTAACCTGATCAATTCTACAAATTGGTTTAAGGAGCTGCACAGTACCAGCATCAGTGCAGAGGAGGGAGATAGGAACACAACAGCTGAGAATTAAGAGCAGTTTAAGGTTCCATGAAACTGAAACCTAACAAAGAACTGGAAGCTCCCAAGTTTATCCTCAGCTGTACAAACTGTTTTATACACCGATCAAACTCCGAAATAGAGACGGAGGTAGATTCCCCCCTTTATTGTGTCTTAGTACATTCCAAATCCATGTTGTTCTGTTGTCAGAAACCTCATTTATTAGTAGTAACTCATTCATGACTGACTCTTAACAGAAGCACACAAGTAATAACTGCACCTCATTTATAAATCCTCAGACCAGAAAAAAATAGGGAAAGGCAGGCATAATTTATTTTCTAGCACTGAAGAAGCAGGAAGGGGACTGAAGAAGCAGGAAAGGAACTGAAGCAGCAGGAAAGGGATTGAAGCAGCAGGAAAGGGACTGAAGCAGCAGGAAAGGGACTGAAGCAGCAGGAAAGGGACTGAAGCAGCAGGAAAGGGACTGAAGCAAGAAGAAGCAGCTCTCCATAGTGAGTAGACTTCTTTGCAGGGCTTGGAAAAGGGAGGGTTTCTTTGTTCTTTAACCAGAGCAAAAGTGAAGTGTCCAAATATAATGGATACAAGCTGATGTTAGATACCATCATATCAGAAACAAGTGGTTATTAGAAATCCCAGCTCCTAAAAATTAGAGCCCAGAAATTCATTTATGCTGGCTTTGATTCTCATAGGTTGGGTAAGGAAGAAGATCGATCTCACTTTTATGCTGGTATTTATTAGGCTGTATTTTTTCTATCCTTTAGTAGCACAGCACAATTAGCATTTAATAACCATATCTAACCTAAATTTCAAATACTTTATATACTGGCATTATTATCAGTATTAATACTCCCTGTGGTAGTTTTTTTTTCCCCTCAGGTAACAGTATTTTGGGGCTTAATCTGGTCCGGTAAGAAACACAGTTTGCAGGATTTCCAGTCACTGGATATGCTCTTTTCTTCTTTTGTTAAAGCAGATTGTTCTGATTTTTGCATTCTACCTTTAAGAGATTTAAGGGTGATTTGTTTGAGAAAAAGAAAAAAAAAATCTGGTACCGGTGGGCATCATGGAAACAACCCATCTAGACCCAGGCTTTTGGAAAAAAAAACAAGGGATCGAGATACTGTTATGAAATCAGGCTGCAACTATGCAAAGCTCACCTTTTCTTTATCCATATACTGCAAGCATATGTCGAAGTCCTCAAACTGATAATGCCCACGCTGGATTTGCACGAGAGGACCAGCGTGCTTCCGACATGCCCTGCTTTTATTTTTTCTTCATTAGACCTGGGCAGCTCTCCAGGGACAGGCTCCCGGACACCGCACGGGGGGAACCCACCTCTCCCTGCAGCCACAGCGGCCAAACCCGCACCCCTCAATTCAAGGGCGGGCTGCGGTTGGCACCTCGCGCCCAGGGGGCTGCAGGGACCCAGCACTTCCCACGGGGTGTCATCGGCTGAGGCGGATCCTATCGGAGGAGCTGGAAACACCTCAGCGTGCCCCGCTGCTTCCCCTCAGAGATGCGGCGGGTTTCGGGCGAAACAGCTTAGTTTGAGGGACCACCTCAAGGCGTGGCTGGGGCCGCGGGGCCGCCCCTCAGCCCGGGCGGAGCGGGGAGAGCTGGGGACCCAGCCCGCCCATGTCCCTGTCGCCACCGCCACTCGCGACAGCGACAGGAGGCAGGGAGGTGGTAGCCGTCGCAAGCCCGGCCTACGACGTGACGTTTCGGGAGCCTCGGGTCACGTGACAAGGGCAGCCAATGGTGGGGCAGCGGCCCGCTCACGGCGGGCGGGGGGCGGAGGAGGAAGGGGGTGGGGGGAGGGCCAGAGTCGAGGCCGGGGGGGGTGCAGCGGCGCGGGTGCAGCGCGGAGTGGGGCCGCGGCGGTTGCGCCTCTCCGGCCGCGTTGCGTGGGGCGGCCATGCCGAATAAAAACAAGAAGGAAAAAGTGAGTCGCTGCTGTCGTGGGTGGGCTTGGGTCCTGCGTGGGGAAGCTGTGGGGCCCAGGCCCCGCGGGGAGGAGGGGCTGGGGCAAAGCGCTGCAGGGGGCAGCAGTGGCGAGCGCAGCCCAGCGCTGAGGCGGGCAGCGAGGCGTTCCCTGCCGCTGGAGGGAACCGGGCGATGGGCCGCCCGGTCCTTTCACTGTTGTGTGCCGGACCCCTGACTTCCCCCGGGAGCCGGGCGCTGGGGAGGGGGTAGCTCCCGGTGAGGCCTAGTCTGGGGGATGCTGTGGCCGCCGGGGAAAGGGAAGTCCCGGTGTCGTCTCGCCGGGTCCCTGGGGTCTGCCCGGCAAAGTGGGGGAGCGGAGCCCGCGAAAGGCGGGCGCGGAGTTGGGGGCAGCCGGAGAGATGGGGGTCAGTGGAGAGAGGCCGTGGTTTTGGCGTGCGGAGGAGTGCTGGAGGGAGAGGAAGGAAAACGTGCTCTGCCGTGCCTAGGAGGAGGCTGAGCTGGTACGGGGGTCCCCTACCTCGCGTTGGGCCGCATATGTTTCGGGGTGCAGGGGCGTTTTTCATGGCGGTACGGCAGGGCTGAGGGTGGGGGGTGCCCCACAGCTGCTTTCCCGGTCACAGTCCTGGGAAGTTTCACAGCTGCATGGCTATGGCTGCAGCTGAAGTTGTGCTTGGGGAATCACCGTGAGCACTCAGTCGCCACTCGAAATCTTTTCACCTCCTTTGCCTGACAGTGGGAGAGGATCTAGCTTTGGCCCTGCATTGCCTCCGTTTTCCCCGGTACTCCCGGGAGTGACTTTTCTGGCAGTCACGAAAGGATCTTGCACAAGTAATGGTTGCAGAAAACTTCAAAATCCAACAGCAACTTAACTGTACTGCATTTAATATGACAGACAATTAGCCATATGAGTGGAAGTCAGAAACAGTGAAGTATTACGGTCTGCCTCATCCAGCTGATCTCCCTCTACACCTTCTGTTTTCAGTTGACTTCTGCTTGTCTTTTAGTTTTTCAGCATTTTAAAATTAGATGTAGGGAGCTTGGGTGTTACAGTTTATGGGGGTTGGTTTAACTTTTTCCTCAATATTCTTGCCACAGTTGATAGTAAAAACATTTATACTTTACTTTCTGAGGATAACGAATCTCAAAAATATGCTTTGGGTAAAGGGTGCAAGTTAAATATAATGCTGGGAGGGAGAAATTTGAGTTATGGCCCTGATTCTATACTAGACTCTCTAGCCCCTAGAACAGACAAATAATGAAATGTAAAACTGGCACTGATGCTAGTTTCAAAGCTAAACTAAATATAAATATTCCTGAAGTTAAAAAACAAAGACAGTAAGGGTAAGTTCTTAGGCATGGTTCAAATTACTTGCATTGAATTTGTCCATGCCTGCTTACCTGTGTGAAAGCTTTTCTTTATGTACTTCATGGATGAATTTTGAGGCATAAATAAAATTCTAAAACCTTCCTGCAGATGAAAAATCTTTAAAGCAGCTTTGTAGAGATAGATAGTTCACTATTTAGATCTTCCAATAAAACTGTATAATTTTTGTCCTATCAACTTTGGTACTTTTAGAGAGTGTCTAAAGAAAACCTAATTTCTTGGCTTGAAAAATCTGTCTAGATCTCTTTTTCAAAATAACTGCGACTGAAAACTTTTTTTTTTTTTTTTTAAAGGAACCTGCAAAATCAGTCAAGAGTGGAAAAAGTGGCAAAGAGGGACAAGATAACCAGGAGCATGAGGTAAGTATTACTAAAATATGTAAGTTTTTTCCAGGTAAATTTGTCATTACTTCTGAAGAATGTTCTGAATTTTTCTAGGTGGTTGTAATTTTGACATGACAAGTGGTTTTTAATGGAAAGTGATTGTTGGAACTACTGCTCTGGCATTTGACAAAAATTAGGAGAACATGCTCTTGAGGAAGGTAATTTTATTTAGAGTAAATGCTTGCTTGCTGCAGCCTTAAATACTCATGTTTTCTTTTTGGTTAAGCCATACATCCATTTTACTTTTCTAGTCTTATTGTGAGGTTTGAGGCTTGTCTACTAGTTGCTTATTCCAGTTTTTAGCATCCTCTGTAATTCCCAGTGCCCTCTTCTCTCAAACTGTCAAGGTTGGCCTGTCAGCTAAGTGTCAGTAGCCTGTTTTATTGTTAGGATACCTTAGGCTTAATCAAAGGCTGCCAGTTGTTTTGTTGATTGATTTGTTTTTATCTGTATACAATGGAGTTTGTTTGGAGTTTGGTTCTTGATGCTAATTATTTTTATCTTTTTTTTCCTCTTCCTTCTGCATTGCTCTCTGTTTTGTTCACCAGCAAGGTGTAATGACTTGAAAGAGGTCTATTAAATCATTATTCACTTCTTTTCCCACATTAATCCAGAAACTTGGAATTAATAGATCTGCTTAATTTGGAAATCCACTGTTCAGAGGGATTCTGAAATTTCATTTAAAATGTTCACACCAGACCAAATGCAAAATGCTAAACTTAAAAGCTTATGTATTTCAGCCTCTAAGCTACATGTCTTGATACTAAAAAACAGTGTTTGAGAACAAAAATACACGTTCAGCTTTACCATTTTCTCCTTCCTGAAATGAGTGTTGAGGGTAGGTGGGTGGGAATATTTAGTACGCTTTTTCTGATGCACTTCAATGAGTTCTCATTTGTTTGCTTTGCAGAAAGATGCATACTAGCATCTTAAAGTAAGATCATTAAAACTTGTAAACTCCTTGTAAAAGTATTTCAGCAAATTCAGGTAAGAGTTGATTGAGTTTTGGTGGAGGAATCTTAGCTACTAGGAAAGCTCATAGAATAAAATAAGAAATCTGTTGGTGTAGATGTTTATAGAGGTGTAAATAGATGTACTTTATTGTGATACATTCTGTCTTTACAGTATATTGCTGTGATGTTAAAGTATTGGTTTTTGGCTAAAAGTTTAGCTTCTGTGCAACTGTAAGACTTGTCATTTTCAGTAGCTTTGCTGTAAGTTTGTTGACTGCTTATTTACTCAAGTTTCTGAATAACAGGCTGCTGAGACCAAAATTTATTTTCTTATTCCTTGTTGGTACTTCAGGGTAGATTGTAAAGCTCCCATGGTTGATTAGTTGAGAGCTTTAAATGTTAACTAAAACATATATGCAGTTTTGTTTGTAATTTCTGTGTTTGCAGATTTGGTGTCTTTTTCTTTTCTTTCTTTTTTTTCTTTATTTTTTTTTTTAAATGTAAGAGACTTGAATTTCAATAGGAGAAACTTAAACAGGGGAAATTTAGGTTAGATATAAGGAAGAAGTTCTTTACTGTGAGGGTGATGAGGCACTGGAATGGGTTGCCCAAGGAAGTTGTGAATGCTCCATCCCTGGTGGTGTTCAAGGCCAGGGTAGACAGAGCCTTAGGCCACATGGTTTAGTGCAAGGTGTCCCAGTCCATGGTAGAGGTGTTGGACTAGATGATCTTAAGGTCCTTTCCAACCCAAACTGTTCTATGATTCTATAATATGTTTTAGTGTACATGCATTTTTCTTTTTCAGTTGTCCTTCCTGATAGAACTCCCAGTGAAAACTACAGTTTACTTATCTATGATGCCTAATCATATGTGAGTAGGGAGCAGAATGGGAAAGGGACTGGGAATTCGGTGTTGGAACCGATCTTTGTTGGCAACATGGTGGTGGGATTGAGGCGCCCTCAGCAAGTTTGCTGATGACACTAAGCTATGGGGTTCAGTTGATACGCTGGAAGGAAGGGATGCCATCAAGAGGGACCCTTGACAGGCTTGACAGGTGGGCCAGTGTCAACCTCATGAAGTTCAGTGTAGCGAAGTGCAAGTTTCTACCCCTGGGTCAGGGTATTCCGAGTCCCAGCTATAGGCTGGGCAGAGTAGTGATTCAGAGCAGCCCAGTGCAGAAGGACTTGGGGGTGTTGGTCAGTGAGAAAATGAACATGAGCTGGCAACGTGCGCTCTCAGCCCAGAAAGCCAACTGTATCCTGGGCTGCATCAAAAGGAGCATGACCAGCAGGTCAAAGGAGGTGATCCTGCCCCTCTACTGTGCTCTCACGAGACCCCACTTGTAGTACTGTGTGCAGTTCTAGTGTCCTCAGCATAAGAAGGAGATAGAGCTGTCGGAGCAAGTCCAGAGGAGGGCCACAAGGATGGTAAGGGGACTGGAGCATCTCCCGTACGAAGACGGGCTGAGAAAGTTGAGGCTGTTCAGCCTGGAGAAGGCTGCATGGAGACCTCATAGCAGCCTTCCAGTATCTGAAGAGGGCCTACAAGGATGCTGGAGAAGGGACTCTTCATCAGGGACTGTAGCATCAAAACAAGGGATGATGGGTTTAAACTTAAACAGGGAAGGTTTAGATTAGTTATAAGAAAGTTCTTTACTGTGAAGGTGGTGAGGCACTAGAACAGGTTGCTCAAAGAAGTGTAAGTGCTCCATCCCTGGCAAGTGTTCAAGGCCAGGTTGGACAGAGCCTTGGGTGACATGGTCTGGGGTGAAATGTTCCTGCGCATGGCAGGGGGGTTGGAACTAGATGATCTTAAGATCCTTTTTAACCCTAACCATTCTATGAATGTGACTGGCACATATAGTATGATTGCCATTCCCAGTGGGCATTATTTAGTCTTCATACAATTTATAACACCTCAGTGCTTGACTCATTAACTTAATTAATAGAGTAATTGCACACAAATATTAATGTAGACTTTACAT